TATTGCTCTATAAAATAACGGTTCAAAAGTAGCACATTATTTAGTTTAATAATTTTTTCCAGTGATTTTAAAGATGAATTTTCAGTTTCATTACTCCAGTCTTCAGAGTCACATGGTACTAACTTTTTTTTTTTTTTTTTTTGGTGAGGCCAGTGAAAATTTTGGCTGGGCAAGTACAAAATCTGAACCACAGTAAAAAATCCTTTGAGTTGAACCCTGTATTCTAAAGAATATTTCATTTAGTTAGAGTTATTTTTAATAATTTATTAATTACAAATTTCTGCAGATTTCACCAAATAAAATTTAAGACTTTTAGGCCGTACTCACACTAGGTACAGTTGCCTCGAACCGGGCCCGCGCTCACACCACAAACGGGCTTCGGCACGCTTATGTCATCGCTGCTGCGCTGTTCAGTGAGAAGCGCTCTCTCACTCAGCAGCACAGTGGAGATTTCTCTAGTTATATTGTTTCAGTCGTTTGATATGTCGTCAAATATTTCGCCAAACAGTCCTTGAGAATGCGGTGACACGCAGTCAGATATTTCGCCGAACAGATCTTCCACTTTTGGCGCTCATAAACAATCATAAGGCTCTCGTGCTGCAGGAATGAGGAGGTCTGCTGAAGGCGCGCAGCTGTCGTACAGTGAGGGGTTTGTGTCTTTAATAAACTACGGCAGTTTGCGTTCACTGAATAGTAAGAATTATTAATAAATCCATATGAAAGAGTGCTTTAAAAGTCACGTCTCGCTTTCAGTTTCGGGCTTTGACGCGTTTTGCACTCACACACAAGCGTACCGTGCCAAAGCCCAAGTGAACCGGGCTCAGGCACACCTCTTCCAACCGGGCCAGGGCCGGCCAAGTGAACCGTGCTTGAGTCTGATTCAGCGCACTCACACTTCTCAAACGATCCGGGAAACGGGCCTGGGCACGGTACGGATGGCATAGTGTGAGTAGGCCCTTAAAGACATTTTAAGAACATTATAAATAAAATTTTAGACTTACCCAGGGCTAAATGCTAAGGAAACTATATAAATACTGCAAGGAAACTATATAAATGCTAGTTTTCAATAAACTGTTCAAAGTTTTAATAAGATTGTTGGTGATTGCATGGGTGTTAAAGGCCAGATTGGCTAGCTATACATGAACAAAGAAAAATTAAGACCTGTTAAAAAAAGATTTAAGACATACAACCCAATATTTTAGTACATTTAAGTCTTTTTAAGGCCTAAAAAGTATGTTATGAGATTTAAGATTTTAGTCAAATTTTTAAGAGCCCGCAGATACCCTTTAATTAGGCATTGTTAACAAAAAAGTGCAGAGGCTGTGATATCTGCTACCAGATCTATTTTCTGTCTTAAGCCATCTACGTGAAAATATACTAAAGCAATTTATAGCAAATACTATAGTGTTTTTTTTTTTTTAAACCATACTGACACTGACACCTCCAATAGAAATAGAGATGTTGCGCAATCAGCTAAAATGTTGCTAGAATTGCTTTTTATGTACGGCCGAATCCGATACAGTTAAAGTCAGAATTATTAGCCACCTCTGAACTTTTTTTTTCTTATTTAAATATTTCCTTAATTATGTTAAACATAGCTAAGAAATTTTCACATTATGTCTGATAATATTTTTTTTTCTTCTGGAGAAAGTCTTATTTGTTTTATTTCAGCTAGAATAAAGGCAGTTTTGCATTTTTTAAAAAACATTTTTGGGACAAAATTATTTACCCCTTTAAGCAATTTTAGAACCAACCATCGTTGATAATTCAGGGGGGCTAATAATTCTGACTTCAACTGTATATATTGCATCCCCAAAAAAGACTCAGGTAATGTCTATGTGTTGTGCCGATAAGTCCCTATATGGATTACTGTGGGCTAATAACATGTATTATATTTTAGTGAAGTACAATGGTGTGGTGATATTGGGTTCGTACCTGGCAATCTGGTTGACATAAGGCTTTAGTTCAGTGGGCTCATAGGCACGAGCGAAAGCCCAGCACACATAGCAGCCTGCATCTCGCACATTCGATCCCAAGCTGCACGCTCCCCTTTTCTCATCATATGTCAGAGCTTTCAGAATCAGAGGCACCACTGGAAGATAGATGAGAACAAAACATTAGTATGCAATAATCATTTGTTTTTTAATATTGTGAAATTTGGGGTAACTGATTATGTAAAGACGACAAATTAAATATATTATTATTTGTAATCAAATAGGAGTATATTTAAAATATTATTTATTCTTGCGATGCCAAATGCTTGCCAACATTTTCAGCAGTACAACTGAAGCGTTCATCGTCACTTAACCCTTCCAATGGAGTTGCAATAATGTGCACCTTTTGTAAAGCTTAACACAATAACTATTCTGCAAAGTACTATACAAATGAACTGGAATTAAATTGAATGCTTATTTTGGTACATTTCAGAGTTTTTTTGTTTTTGTTTCGATTATATATATATATATATATATATATATATATATATATGGTCACACTTTACAATAAGGTTCATTAGTTAATGTTAACTAATGCATTTACTAACATGAACAAACAATGAACAATACATTTACTACTGTATTTGTTTATGTTAGTTAACGTTAGTTGATGAAAAGACAGTTGTTCATTGTTAGTTCATGTTAACTCATGGTGCATTACCTAATGTTAACAAGCATGGACTTGGATGTTAATAATGCATTAGTAAATGTTCAATTATGATTAATAAATGCTGTACATGTGTTGTTCATGATTAGTTCACGTAAGTAAATGCATTAAATAATGAACTTTGTTGTAAAGTGTTACCATATATATATATATATATATATATATATATATATATATTAGTGCTTGCATAGTAGAGATGGCATTAGTGTGCGGATGGTAGTTATGTATATCTGCAAGCACTATGGATAATCCACGGGTTGGGCAGGTCGGGTAATAAAAAAAATACTTTATGATTAATTAAGGGGGGATGTAGCAGGACATGGCAGTGGACCAGCAAAAAAAGCAGGGAGTGAGCTTTGCAGAATGGGAAGATGAGACACCCAAAATAATGGATGAAGAGTAGCCTACTGTTCAAAGTTTCAGTTAGAGTCATCATCAGAAGAAAAATCTGCTATCATTCTTGGAGAAACAAGATCGCTTATTTTCACAACTGCAGCGCCTTGCGAGGAGAATCTTGTTTATTCCTACAACAAGCGGTGAAAGTGAATGCTCATTCAGTGCAGCTGGCCGCGTTTTGGAGGCGAGGCTGAATCGCCCGAATACAGGCACAATAGATGCTATTCTGTCTTTGCACAGTGCAAAGAAAAAGGCCAAGTAAACCAAACATAGCTGGCGTGTAGGCTGAAGTAGCATCCTTTTTGTTATCTTGTTCCTGTGTCTGTAAAAACTAAAAATGTCTTATTTTTACTTTCTGTATCTATTTGAAAAACGAAGAAAATGTTGTCTAAAGACAAACTTTTGTTTTTATAAATAAATGTTCATTTAAAAACGTTTACGATTAACGTATTGTTTTACTATCAGAGATGCGCAGATTAAAGCTCACTGAATCTGCTGTTGATATTCACACTGAGCTGGCGCATGCTTAGAGGCAACCCAGGCGGCTGCCTGAGGGGGCAGAATAGAGAGGGTGGAGTCCACGACTATCCCCCCACCGCCGGGTATCATTTAGGCTGATCCGCACATCTCTATTGCATAGACTAGTCGAGCGATCAACTACTTCAACCACTAGTAGGTGCTGTCAGAAACAATCCACTACTCGAGCGTAAATTTTCCATAAACGAAATCAAAATGACAAACGTAAGCGACAAACATCCTGATCCAAAGTTAAAAGCAGCCAAACTACAACTGAGGATTAAATATAAGATTTTTTTCAGATGCCTGACATTAACACCATGGGAAATTCTCTCGAAAGGTGGTCGTTATGAACACCAGTTTTATTTTACTATCCAAGCTAGCAAAATTATTTCTTGCCATCCTGATGTCCACGAAGGGAACACATTCTTTATTGGCTGGCAACGCTGTAACAAGACAAATAGCAAGCCTGCATCCCTCTCACATGGTTGTGCTTGTATTTATAAATGCAATCCAGCAATCCACTTTCTGTGGTTAGAGGATGATAGCGGGGATAACTGCTGGTGTTTTGTATAAAGTTTGCTGAACTAAGATGCTATTCCTTATTTCTGTCTAAAGCAGGGTAAATTTAAAATGATTAAATTGTAGGACGTACATTTTAATCACTATTGCATTGCTATTTTTTTTCTACGACTTTGTCTGCATGTAAAATATCATGTAATCATTCATTTGTTTACTGTGTCTATGCATATTTTATTTATTACCTTTAATATATTTTTTAAATGTATTCAAATTATTTATTCATAAATAGTTTATTTATTATTTATTTTCCGCTAGACCGTATACTGTAACTTGTTGAACAATTTCTTTCTCGAACCAAAAAAGTTTTCATTCTTGTTATCACTGCTGAAAACTTAAATATTAAAGTCATTTTTTATTAGATTAATTTTTGTATAAAGCCTGTATATATATATATACATACATACATACACACACACACACACACACACACACACACACACACACAAATGTATGTATTGGATGTATTGAAACGTGGTACATAAAAAGTGTTGCAAACAAATAGATACACATAATTACACTAAAAATAAATACTTTTTTTGGAAAGATATTACAAGGAACAATTTTCCTAAAATGTTGGTGGGGCCAAAATGAACAGTATTCACAGTTTATGATTCATGCTGTATATGCAGTGAGTACTGTATTGTGAATAAATGTGAATGTATTTCAAAATAAAACTAACCCCATTTGTGAAAACTACGATCCGGATCCAGCATAAATAACTGCAAGCTCAGAACAAGAATTTTCATAATCACTCTGAAAGACACTTCACATCAAGCGCAGCACACATGCAAATCTCACTGGTTGTCCTGAATATTTCCACACCCCTCTGACAACATCCTCAAACCTGCTTCACACCTAACTCCACCACTCCTGAGCTAATTCAACCATTTAGGCAAACAAAAGGCGCAAACAGTCTTGTCTGGATTTTAAAGTCCATGTGGATTGTCACAAGCAGGTGAGACAAGGAGGCAAACTAGCAGCGTATCGTGGCTTGGGGCTTGCCTAATAGCAGGCGCATTGATGCTGCCTCAGGGCTCTACTGCTTGGGCACAGACTCCACCCCACAGAGTCAACACCTAAGAGAGAAAGCGAGAGGCTCATCAGACTCATCAGAATCTAGACGGAGCACCTAAACGAACAGACAGTCGATTTCGAGGACAAGCACGCCAGACAAACTCTTCCACTTCAGAGACTTCTGGATGACCACTGTGGATCTACATCCATCAATGATACATCCAATATCGTGAACGTGGAATCTGACAACAGGTAAGAGTATGACAATGTCGATTGATAATGACTGCAGTCATTGTTACTGTTGTTCATATGTACTGTTCATGTGTATGTTCAACTGTAACATTTCTTAAAGCTTAACTGTTGATGTCATGTCAGGCAGGTGTTTCAGAGGTAGATCCAAATAGCTGACTTTAGTTGCACCTGCTAGACTACACCTTGTAAAAAAAGTTTACTTGTCATGTGGTTGTTCAGGCTATAAGCAACCTATAAAGTTTTTCCATTTAGAAAAAAAAATAAACTTTTTCACATTTCACAAGATATTGGGTTATTTACAGAATTAAAACCAGGAAACAATGGATATTGCAGCAAAATGTAATTTCACAATCCAACAAAAAATGTCTTTTAATTTGTGCCTTGAGGAGGGAGCGGCTTCGTATAAAACATGGGAGCCAAAACCTGAGCCACCACTTCTTGCGACAGCTAGTGACAAACAGGTTCCTTAAGGTGGAGTCATTTTCTGCATAACTTGCCTGACAATCTCTTTCTTCAATCTTCTTAGCACCAATACAAACCTTCAGGCCTCAAAATCTTTGCACACTTACCAGACCATTACGTATCCTCATTGTAGTGATGAACTGTAGAAGAAATTCCTTCAAGCACTGAAGAAGTCCATGTTGTTACCAGTGTTATAAAATCCGATTTCAAATGAATAGCTGGGGTAGCTTCTCTACATTTACAGTGCGAGTAAGATTAACATTTAAATATCTTGTATCCTGCAGGTAAGGTCATGGGAAACAGGTGTATGAGGTTTCCCACGCCATCAAATTTTGAAGAAGGGGAGCATGTTTCTACAGGCCTACACTTCAGGCTTCGGTAGTGCAGCTAGAGTGTGTCATGCTAAAACAGAATCCAGCAAACATTAAAGAGCGGCTACATTCTAAATAAAAGGTTTAAAAGACAATGAATTTGCTATATTTATTTCTATTACTAGTAAGATGTGACCCAAAAACAAATGAAGAGTGCTGCTCTTACAGGGTGTGGCAGAACTGTTAATCATATATATATATTTTTTTATTTCCCCATTGGCAGATAGGACTGACAAACCACGCAGCACTGGATTTGAACAACTGCACCACTATGGAAACCCTTCAGGGCAGAAAACCGAAGAAACCCCATTACATTCCTCGTCCTCCTGGCAAGCCTTTTAAATATCAGTGTTTCCAATGTCCATTCACCTGCAACATCAAGTCTCACCTCTTCAACCACATGAAGTATAATCTGTGCAAGAACTCCATCTCTCTAGTGTCTCAGCGCATGGAACAGACAGGGAAAGCATCCAGAGCTTCCCAGCATAGCCCAGCTTTCAGTCACAACAGCAAAGAGCTACCACTGGATGCTGAATCAACCAAACCTATAGAAAATGTCAAGATTGAGAAAGCGGTGACTAAGGAAGCAAGAGAAAAGCCTCAAAGTCCCATCAAGGAGGTCAGTAAAGATGACACTGAGCCAGCTCTTGAGGCCAAGGACAAAAGTGAAGACATGGACATTGCACAGAACAAAATATCTTCGGCCTTCTCGCCAGTTGCACGAACATGCGAAAGTGAAGCTCTTTCTTTGTCTCCACATAAGGATGATCAATCAACCATTCCTCACTTCTACCAACAAATTGCACCTTGGGTAACATCTGCTTCCTCAGCACATCTTCTTCCTCCAATACCAGAATATCCTCCATACATGGTGCCCGAAAGGTCCTTGCCTCCCCTCTACGCACCCTACCCACATAACCAAGCAAGCACTCCAGCCTACCAAGTAACACCTCGAGAGACCCAGAGACCACTAGTGCCGTCACCTTTGATCCCACCTAATTCTTCCCTTCTCCACCCTTATCACTACAGATATGGTCACTCTATTTTCCCCAGTCCACCTCTACCCTACAGCTTCTATCAGCATCCTGAACTCTCTATACCCTTACAGAGATCAAGGTATCTTCCTCTGGATGTGTACAGTAGCAGATTTTATCCTCGAGAGTATGGAGGGCACCTGGTCCCCCTAACGCATCCTGAATCTTACAGCAGGCTTGCTGAGGATAGGGCAGTCCAGGAGCATAATACAGGAGACAAAGGTATTCGCGAGAGTCCTTTAGAAGGATGTGATGCCTCTGGGTCTCCAGACAGGCCCAGTACTGCAGATGTCACCCAGCGTATCCCTGTTGGACTCAGACTTGCTTCCCATGGGGAGTCTCACTCAGGCAGCCAATCGCATATCATATCAGGGTCGACTAAAGCAAATGATAACTTACCCAAAATGCCATGTGGACAAAATCAAGAGAAAATGTTACAAAAGACAGAAAGGTAGGTAAAATCTAAGTGGGAGAAATAAATATGATATACGTAAGATTAATTTCCTCCTTGCAAAACATTAATTACATGACATCTTGTCTCATCTTTACAGGTATGATTCACAAACCACAATTTCCTCAAGAAGCAGTGACATTTCAGACAAGGAAGAGGATGAAGAAACCGAAGAGGAGATAGGTCCTCTTAACCTTTCAAAAAGGGACCAGGCCACATCCAACAACATGACACATCATCACTATCCTGACCGAGAACTGCATTATGATTCAGAAAGTAGTCAAGAAGAGGCTCCGCTCAACCTCTGCCTCAGGGTACAGTCCAGCAACCAAGCCTTGCCCAACACCTCTGAAACTCCGGAAAAAGAAACCATCAGCAATGCTGAAGTATCCACAACTGAGTCACCCCAGGATCTAGAACCATGTGACCAAAGGCAGACAGCAGCGTTTGCTTTATGCCAGTTAGCTAGCTCAAGGGACATCATCAATGACACTTCTGTTAAGCAACAAGATGTGACCGAGAGTCAGAACACTAAGTGTCTTCCTTCTCCTGACAACTGCTCAGTCAAAGACAGTCCTAACATACTCAATGCAAGCATGGTGGCATTGGGACAAAAAAGGGCAAATAATAGACCCTTAAGACACACTAACAAACGAGCAAAGGTTAAAGAACCATCCCGTCCACGAAGAAAAAGGTCACAAAACTGCTGATGAAGAGTAGTTAAACAGTGGACTGCTGCAATTCAGATGGTTGAAAGAAAAGCGGTCCAGTGAAAACATCAACATTAAAGAAAGACTTTGCAGAAATATGACCAGCAGCTACCATCAAGTCTTGAATTATTATAGTATTTATGGCCGTAAAATAACTTACTTATGAATTTTAAAGTTATGATTGAACTGATAATGTATACGTTCAATGTAAGATACTTTGAATAAAAGCATCTCCCTTAAAGATATATGTAAATAAACACGTTTTTAAGTATTCTTGATGTATAAACATTATGCACTGACTAGAAAAAGACAGCACCCCAGTTTATATTCAATATTCAATCTAATGTAACAAAAAGTGAGTGGGTGGTGGCATTTTTACTCAATAAAGTAGCAAGCCAAACTTGTAATATTTGAATAAAGTGTTTGAATAAATTTTATTTCATTTTCCTGAGTATTTCTGTAGTGAGGCATGAAAAGTACAAAGAACGCACATTATTCTCAGATTAGGATTAATGAGTTTGACTACTTAATACGATGGCTGAGTATTTCAAGTGGACCCAAAAACGGAAAAACTCAAGTGACGAATGCCGCTGTGCTGTGAAGTGCTCAATGAAGTTGTAAGTGATCCTTGATAGGCGAGTTCCTGTTTGTTTATTTTAATATCCCGAGAACCATGTCTTTTGTATTTATAAGCCTAAATAATCATTATCTGAATAGTCAGGTCTGTCACGATTTATGGTCTCCTTGAAACAGTTTATTTGTTTTTAGAGTTATTCGAAAGTGTAATGCAGAAATGACATGTGCTGTCAAACAGATCTTTTCTCAATTTGCTGGCGTTTTTTGTAATTGCATATGCTTTCTTAAATTGCAGCAGGCTAAAGCTCTCTCAGCCACCATAACTTATGTTGGTAAGGCAGATTTCAAATATAACAGATTAAAAGAAAATACAAACTAACCGTCTGACAGACGAGAAGGAAGCAGCAGTCCTCTTCGGCCTAGCTCTGCAAGAGCCAGGCAGCCCCCATGCCAAGCATTATCTGTTTCCTGAAAACTGCACATTATAAAAAAAATATATAGTGTAATATAATAAAATTCTGTATTTGAAAACACTTCAATCATATCATTACATCTCAGGTATGTAATTTCATACCTGAAACAATCTAAAACAGATTCAACCACGTCATCAGCAAGCTCTTTAGGCAGTCTACCAGTTACTCTACCAATCCTGCAGGCAGTTAAAAAAAGGAATGCTGGTTAAAAAAATAACAATTATCATTTGCTTTTGCTATACATTTTTTTCAGAGAGAAGCATGACACTATGATAGCCAGTTCAGTTAGGCCAAATAAAACAAAGTGTAATTTACGAACGTGACTATTCTCACCCTTTGGCAGAAGACCATCGGACTATAGTCTCTTTGTCTTTCAGTCCCAACAGCAGTTGTTCTACAACAGATTATGCAAATTAGCTTTACAAGAGAATGTTTGTTTATTTTACAAGAGAATGTTAAGAAAATAAAACAAATAGATACTTACCAATGACATTCTCTACCTCCTGAGGTATGTCATAGTCTTCTTCCTGGCTAACAGACTCTAGATCAGGTTTTGTAGCCTCTACACTTTCAGTGACAGAAGACTGGGCCAGGTTCACAGCAAGTGACCGACTTCCTCTCTGGTACCTGGTCATGAAAAACACAATTGACACATTATTTTGGGTTGATTTCTTCATGCTGTAACAATAATTTACTCCTCAATTACCTCCATTTTGCCAAACGTGGTTTCAGAAAAGTTAAGCCAAGTCTCTGGACAACCTTTACTCCAAGTTTACGCAATGTGGCCTGGTTACTTTCGGCTATTTTCTTTTGGTTCAGGCACTCAAGAACTGTGGGGGCTGCGAATGTAAGGAGATTGGTAAACATTTATCTAAATACATTTTGGTTTGATAGAAATTAAAAAAAAGATACACACCATACTGGAGAAAGTCATCCCGTTTCCCATGCTTGAAGAGCTGGGCCTGGTAAAAAATCATCACTTGATTAGAACTATGAAACTGTTTTCAAAATTTTTTCTTTTTTTTTTTTTTGTATAGCATGTGTTTAAGTTCGTCTATGCAAACTCTGCATAACTACTTGAGGCCCTGTTTGGGAAATGCATAACATCCATAGCTAACCTTTAAAAATCTTTTGATGCAATGCATTAATAAACTGAAGTGAATTCAAATTTATTAAACACATTTGCAAAAACCAGTTGAGTTTAATGCCAGCAGAAGTCCATTAAAAGCAATTATCGAGCATAAAAGTGCACCGCACATGTTTTTGCTTACTGACTGACCCTGTGGCATTTAAAGCTAATATGCAAAACGTTGATGGCAGTTTTAGCACCTCAGGCATTCCCAACACACAGAGCCAGTTTTGTAAGCCTCGAGCAACAGAGATACGCTTCACAAAAGCATTACAATAGCAGGATCGATTTCACGTGCAGGATGTCCCAATGCAAAGAAACAAATTCTGATAAAGATCAAGCATTAAATGAGCAATTACTACAGCTTTAACTTTGCCATGTAACACTATACTGGCTTTGGCAGGTATCAACTGATATGTAGCTATTATTAAACAATGCAGGAATTACAGGCTTTAAAATCCATTCACAGCAAGAATGCTAACTATAAAACCTAATGATAACATTCTGTTTCATATTCATCCATAACCAGCAATATTAATTTCTTGTGTCTGTTATGTTGTTCTGCTGTTGGCTCCGCTAGTCTTAATGTATTAGATCAATGTTTTTCAACAAGGGGTACAAGGACCCCTAGTGGCTCTTATAACCATTCTGTTATTCATGTCAACAAATGAACATTTCAATGATTGATAAATTCATGCCACATAATAAATAAATTATACAAATTGTAAAAAAAAAAAAGAAAAAAAAGTGTTAAAGGGGACCCAATATGCCACTTACAAGATGTAAAATAAGTCTCTGGTTTCCCTAGACAGAGGTGTCTAAACTCTGTTCTGGAGGGTTGGTGTCCTAAATATTTTTGTTCCAACCCCAATTAAACACACCTGAACCTCTAGTCAAGCTCTTTCAATGTATGTTAGAAACTTCCAGGGAGAAATCTTCTATGTCAAGCTGTTTTGACACAATTTACTTTGTAAAAGCACTATACAAATTAAGGTAAATTGAACTGAATTAAATAGAGTGTGTATGTGAAGTAATCTTCACCCAAATATTTTTTTAAAACCCTTGAAACTGCACCTTTTAGGTTGTTCCCTTTCAAATTGTACCGTTTTGGTGACTAAGATTGTGCTCCAAGCCCTCTTTTCTACAAGCCGAAACCACCTACTGGCAGAAAAGGGAAAATTCGGCATCACAATGCTGAGATCTGACAGTTCTTCAAATTATGCAACATAATTTAAAGAAACTGCTCACACAACATATCAAGTATATTTTTGAGAGCATTAAAAAAGCAATGTATTATATTGCTTATTGAAACATAACAGTTCCAATTACCTGTGCATTTGTTGTTTTTCCCATATACAGTTGAAGTGAGAATTATTAGCCCCCCTTTGATTTTTTTTTCTTTTTTAAATATTTCCCTAATGAGGTTTAACAGAGCAAGGAAATTTTCACAGTATGTCAGATAATATTTTGTCTTCTGAAGAACAGCTTATTTGTTTTATTTCAGCTAGAATAAAAGCAGTTTTAAATTTTTTAAACACCATTTTAGAGTCAAAATTATTAACCCCTTTAAGCTAATTTGTTTATCGATAGTCTACAAAACAAACCATCAATACACAATAACTTGCCTAATTACCCTAACCTGCCTAGCTAACCTTTTTAACCTAGTTAAGCCTTTAAATGTCACTTTAAGCTGTATAGAAGTGTCTTGAAAAATAGAAAGTAAAATATTATGTGCTGTCATCATGGCAAAGATAAAACAAATCAGGTATTAGTAATTAGTTATGAAAAAATATTGGGCCCTATCATACACCCGGCGCAGTGTGGCGCAAGGCGCGGCGCAATAGTCTTTCGCTAGCTTCAGCTTGTCGCAAGAGTTGTTTTGAGGCGTTGCGCTACGCTGTTTAAATAGCAAATGCATTAGCGCTCATATGTGCGCCCATAGGCGTTCAGGTCTAAAAAGGAAGGCGTTCTGACGCACACTGCTAGCGCGTTGCTATTTTGAGAAACTTGAATAGAATTTTTATTAGACAAAAACAAACCCGGTCTAAACTCCAGCGCAGAGTTGCGCATCGCTTACGCACTGCTTAATACACACAAGAGAGCAATAGACAAATATATTTACATATGAAAAAAATTAAATATTAAGGATATATATATAGGAAATAAAAAGAATAGATATAGGATATAAATATAAAGGATTAAAATATTACAAAACATGTTATTTTCTAGCCTACATAAATATGAAAAATCACTGCTTTTATGTCTTCTTGTGTCTTCATCTCGGGAGGCTTTTTCAGTTCATTCATAACAATTTGCTTTTGTATAATGTTATTATTATTAGCAGTATTATTTATTATAGGGGCGCCACACATGGGGAGGCACCATTGTGCCAAAACTATTTTTGAAATTATCCTTATTAAAAGTTTCAAATAATAAAAATAAACAAATATTTTTGGTTAAAAATGTTTATCCTGCATTTTTTATGAATATAATATGGTATTCAATTAAAAAAAAATCAATTACACCACCTCTCCCTCTTTGTTGACCATTTGATGAATTCGTTGCTCGGTTACAGTCACTTGTTTAAAATGGAGAAAAGAGTGAAGAGACGTGGAGCGCAAAATAGAAAACGAAAAAAAGAACAAACAATGCCTTAAAATGAAAACTGCCATGACAAACTGGATAATAAATCTATCTATTGAATTAATCAATCTATTAAAGAAACGTTGGCTAGAATTCTGCATTTTAGGCTTAAATTATAGAGAGACATAGCACATGAACCGAGACTGCATCAGATCGCAAAGCAGATCAATGTTGATCTTTCTTTCGAGCTGTCAGTGCAGAAATGAACAAAACAACAGGCCTAACACAACATACTAAAAGATTAAAACATGGAAAAAATTGATCAGATAGTAATTTCGGTCAATTTTCCTAATGGATAAACCAAGATCAGCCTGCATAAACAGCTCTCGGTAATATGTCAGCATGCTTTCACTTTCCCATTTACCGGTAAGAATGAGATCTCGCCCTGGTCATCATTCTCTCTTCATATAGCCGTATATGTGGCTATTACACAATCATAATACACTGTGATATAGCCTGGGTGGTTAGTTCATTGCATTGCTTTGTTTTCTCACTAAAATCGATCCGCTCAATAGGACAGAGACCGTCTCATTCAGGCGATCTCGAACTGATTGATTTGGCGCGGATGCGAGCGCAACTGCTGGATATATGCCAAACAAACCATGCTAAAGGGGGA